TTTCCGTATCTAGCTGTCCTCATCCGGTGATCTGGGACGAGATGAGATGTGTCTCCCTAGCGATATGTTTTCTTACACATGTGCATTACCGTGCGAATGTGAATTACCCATCGCTTCAGACATCCATCATTCTCGAAATTCATTAATATTTCCCGGATATCCTCATCATTGAGTATTTGAAAATTTTAAAAGAGCAATACCTGCAGGGATAATGAGTGGAAACGTTATAAACGCTTTCATTTACTAAGAACGTTTAATTTTCTATGAAAGGCGACCTTCTACATCGCAGATTCTATCATAAAATTAACGTAATAATTTTTTTCTTAGAGAAAAATTAGAAGACTGTTATTTCTCTCTTCGGATTTTCCTCCGGCGCGTCCGTTGAAAGGACATGTACTCTGTGGGATATACTCTGGTGCGTTAAATTATGAATTCAATTGGTAACGCTCGCGTTCAGGACACTCACCATTTACCGTTTAGTGCGACAATGCATCTCAAACACAAGAGTGTATGTACATTTATAAGAAGTTTAATAAGTATATATATATATATATATATATATATATTCTATTCCAGTATATGCAGTTCAGAAATTCATTTTCGTGTCACTGTTTCTGGAGGTGTTGAAGTATATAAATGGGAACAGAGTTGCCGCATGCTGCCAGCTGTTCGCGAGCGGCAGCAATTGTGGAAACTGTCTCAGACACTGGGCACGTTAACATTTTAACGCGTTAGCTCGCGAAACGGCTTTCCGGCTCTCTTCGGATTTTCGGTTAACCCCGGAAGTCAAACATGAAAATTTATTAATCCCAGCAAATATCCTTGTCTCCGTGCGTTATTGTACTCGAATTATGATTCGTCTCTGCATGTTGCCAGGGACAATCTGATATTACAATTGATTATATAAAATTTTACTTGTAAAAAATTTATTAAAAATTTGTCGCGCATATTATTGCAAAAATTTCAGAATTCTAACCCTTGTTTAATTTACAACTGAGTAATAAATAAAACGCGTGTATTAATTAATCGTACACCAGAGGTTTTATCCTAGTCTCACTTTTCTGCTCAATATTTTATTCCCTTGATATTTACTGATATACAGTACAAATTAAAAGCATCAATTTCATTAAACTGCTAATAATTTAAAAAAGGAATGTGTTTATCAAGTGATCATCTATATTGTATTCTTTTGTTATCATTAAAATTCTATGCTGCGAGTATAATTATTACAAATGTATAAAACAAAACTCATAAATCCTTAGAAAGACCATGCCGTTATGATAGGCATTTTAAATGGGTTGCTGAAAATATAATCCTCGAGCAAATTCCATCCGCGATTTTATCATCACGCAACTATATATATAGGTATTTGTTACTGCGTCTCGCGAGTCTATCATGCAAATATTATTTCATATACATATATATAATAATGGAGTCGAAATTTCCGAAAAATTAGGTCAAGCATCTCAAGCATACTTTTGCTTTGTGCATTTTGACAGCAAATATCTTTTTTTTTGCTATTTTTTGTCACGATTTGGAAATTTGCCGAAAGTTCGCGTAAAATCGTATTATCCGTGATTTTCGTATCGATTGCGCGTAATGATTGATACTCAACAGGGACGATAACCACGAATGATAAATCAGACATCCGCCGCACGTCGCACGACTGTATATTGCAATTCGTAAGTGAAACCGTAGTAGACCTAAAGTGAAAATCGGATCGGACTCTTCATGAGTGGAATTTTAATCAGCTATCATTGCTGAAATGCAGGCAGCTTATTTTTTTAATTTATAGAGCGACGTTGCATATAATCTATTAAATACGTACTGCTTTCATATTATGCTATAGTATTACTTTGAAGGACAATTACAAAAACACAAGGGATCATCTGATCACGTTTGGGTCATCTGATAATCTTGCACGTGATCAAAGATGTATTATGTACCTAAAATGATATTCCTGTCTATAATAACAACGAATTCTTTTTTTTATAGAGAACGTATATGTATTATGCATATTGAATATTTTGTGAAAAATCTGAATGAATAACATAAAATAGTAAGTCTAGTTAATAACACACACTAATTAAAATTGTAATTTTTAATAAATCTCGTGACGAACATATATAGGTTACCTTTATTTAAATTATGATCAATGCTGACGTATTTAGAAAATTGAATTTAGAACATTATTTATTGCTAGACAAACGAATACAATTATAGACGGCTAATTAATATGCCAGCACTCACTACATCGATATAACATATAATATTTAATTTAAGATTTCCGCTCTATAATAAAATCTGAATTATTTGAATAATTTATGATAAATTATATGTAACAATATTATAAGATTAATCTGTAAACTAGTAATTATACACAGTAAAGTTAATGTTTCATCTTTTTATTTCAAGTACTTTATTTGAATCTTTGTATTATAATTTTGTCGGAGCTCGTTTTATTCTCAGAGACGAAAAAAATTCACATAAATTATGCTGATAGTATCGCATAACTTTGTAACGCGACAAAGAAATGTACGACATTCAGTTTCGCTACAGAGATGAAATGTACAAAGTGTATCAAGAACGATAGGGATGTACAAATAAATCAGATTCCCTTATCGCTGACATTCAAAGTCAAAGAAGAGTGCATCGTATTCAATGTAGGTTTAAAAGATAAACAAGTAAGATGCCTAAGAAACTTTTTTATTTTTAATGGATTTTCCAATAATAAAAGAGTCTAGTAATTAAGTTGAATTAAAATTTTATTGAGGTCACAAAACGTGGTCTTCCACACAAAACATTTTTCTGTTTGCAAAATTGAATACCTATCATAATTTATAATGCTTCTTCAACTTGTTTATTTCTCGCGTGTTATATTTTACATAATGAATAAGAAATTCATCTTTCATGCGTATTTCGATATCGTATATATTTTTTATCTTTCAAACTGATAATAAGATAATAGAGTTATTAATAATAATATTATAATTATTGTAGCTTATAAAAATAAAAATAATAAATTTTTATTAAAAAGATGATTATTTATTTATTTTTATATATTATATAAATAGCTTATTTATTTTTTCATTAATTCCAGCTGTAATAATTAAACAAAATTTTTATCAGAAAGAACATTTTAAATAAGATATAAACATATTATGCATTTGATTATTATTATTATTATTTTTATTTTTCTAATATCTCGAAATACATATGTTAAGAAATTTTTTAATATATAAAAATGATTTAATTAAAGAAATGTTTTTCAAACTACAAGTCACGAATTCCCAGTTAGTATTGTAAAGTATACGTGTCACGATAGTAATGATTTTTTTTCCTTGATGAATGTGCTTCATCGACTGGCACTACCAGTAATATGGTGGAAAATAGCGAGTGAGAAAAAGAGTTACCTGCGATAAGCACCATATTTCTTATGTTTTACGAAAAGAGAGGTTGGAATAATAGATGTGAGAAAACAACGGTATAAAGAGCTGAAAGATTAGATAACGTAAAACTTTTTTATTGAAAAAATGCAGCTCAAGTTGTTAAACAAAAAAAACTCATAAAAAATGCAGTGCAAAAAAAATGAATAAATAAAAACTCGTAATTGCATTAAATATAGGAAATGTAGCTGTTATGTTTATATTGTTTGTAACGTATTTCGCATTTTATACGCAAAGTTGAAAATGGTTGAACTTAACTATAGTAATTTTTTAACAACACTAAATAAATGATAATTTAAAGGAATTAATACAAATTAAATAAACTTTGTATATGGTTGTGCGTGTATAGATTTTACTGACGAGTATATTACATAAATTAATAAGAATTATTAAGATTAATACAAACGAAGAAGTGCAGAATATTCGTCTGTCTTTATAACATGATATATATATATATATACAATTACGTGATTCATTTAAAAAAATAATGTTGAAAAGAGAAAGAAAGTGAGAGAGTTATCAATATATTAAGTAGTTAATTAGATACATGTCGATAATAGATGACTAAAAGAGAATAATGAATGATTTCTTAGTACTTATGCTTTGGAATTTTTATGCTTTCGATTTTTTTTTAATTGTATGAACACACATTTTGTACTTTATGGAAATTCTGTTAGGTGTGGCATTACTAGTCGGAATTGGGCGGAAGTAAAGGCACACACCCATTTGTGAATGGTGGACAATAGATAATTGACTTAAAATACTGAACATAAAATGAAAATTGTATTGTTTTTCGCGGAAACAAAGAATATAATGAGATTCAAAGACATCCCAACCTATATCGTTCAATTGTGTTATGCGTTATTTAAAGATTTACGACGAAAGTAATCAACAAGAACGCGTTTCTAAGAGATTGCTAGACAAAATGCTAATCGTATTAAATGTTATTCATTAGAGAGTTTCCGGACTTTGATTTAATCAATTCTATACCAGTTCTGTACTAATTTTGTTAAAACTAAATGTATTATATATAAAGCAAATGATATGACATTTCGTATGCCACCCTGCATTTCATAAATTGGTATGTGCCTTCATCTGCGTCTAATTCCAACTTGCAATGCCACACCTAACAAAATTTCCACGAAATAGGTATAGAATTTGCTTACACAAAAAACCAATACTCTACAAGTATAAATGTAATAAGATAATTAAAACACACACACACAATATATATATATATATATATATATATATATATATATATATCTAATATATTACTCATAAAATTATTACCTGACGCTTAATAATTTATATGTTTTGTTCTGTTTACAGACGTTCATCGAGAGATGATCGCAAGTTCAGAAGACCAAATAAAACTGCAATTATTGTAAATGCGAACAACGAGAATCATTATTATATTTTTGATTTATACTAAATTGCAAGATTTTAATATATATTGCTCAAAAGAATGCTACAATAATTATCGTTGAAAAATGTATTAAAAAAATGTATAAAAAAAATTTCATGAAACTGTGAACAGTACTGTGAAATAGTCGCACACACACAAAAAGTGAAACTCTGCTTCAAATGTGTAAAAAATATTGATTTTATCGTAGCATTGTTCTGGACTATAGTTCTAAATATTAGAGAACTAGCAAGCAGTGAACAAAACATTCACAAATACAGTGTGTGATAACAGTTTGATAAAGTGACACCTCTCAGAGCAATGTAACGTTCGCTCTATCGAAATATATTTCGCTGACATGGGCGCATGAGGAAGGGAACGAAAGATCGAAGAGCACAAATGACAAGAAAATGTCGATTCAGAGGCGCAACTTATCTGATAACCCCGTTTCCACAGAATATTTCAGTGCTTTAGGGGCTGATGATGATCCATCAATCGTTACCAGTTTCCCCCTGTTCTCTACCGTCACTTCCAGAATTGTCAACGTCACCCCGCCAATCATCCCTCAGTCATCAGGTCAAGACAGTCTCTTGGAGAATCTTATTATACCACTATATGGTACAATTTTCTTCCTTTCCATCGTCGGGAATTCTTTAGTGCTTATTACCCTGGCGAGAAACAAACGGATGCGCACGGTGACAAATGTTTATCTGTTGAATTTGGTAAGTTTCTATATTCTACTAAATTCTACTTGATTTCTATTAGATGCAGAATGGCTGTTATAGCTCTTCCATAAATGATAGTCAACACATTATTTGACTCTGGCTTTTCGTGGATGGAGAAAATACATTAAAAAGAATTACAATAAATTTAAGCGAAATGTGGAAAGTTATAAATTTACAAAATAAATTATTCTACTTCTTCACATGAAATATCTAATATTGTTAGACTAATTTTGAAAATTTTAAGTTTATTTAATATACAATTAAGAAGTGTGTATTTCATCATTTGTTTCTAGTAAAAAGTATATTACTTTTTTTAAACAAATAAAATTTTTTTAGATGCGAATACTGTAAAATGCACCTTAATTATAATTATGTATTTTAAGAAACAATTTAAATACACTTTTTGTTCATAAATATATATCTTACTTAAAATTCAAATAATAGTATATTCCGCTATCAATGCAGACCGGACGCTGCGGAAATTGTTCATCGAAGATCTCGCAAATTAGCTTTCATATTTTGCACACAATGATATTTGGCAGCAACATGCGGTAACAGGTTCATCCAAAGCTGATTATGCCGGTGACATTACTGACAACGTGCGATAACATTAGATTGCTCTGTAATTGATCTTAATTGAATACACCCGAGATGAATACATTCTGACATTATCTTTCATACTTGTTCAGCAGGAAATTTTTACTCGTGCATACCGTGTTTATAACTCATAAATAGACAAAATTAGTAAATTTTTAATTAGCATAGCTATAATAAATATGAAATTCAATCTCACATATCTATAGAGCCGTTATACTCTTTAAATATATAATTACTTTTTATAGTAAAGTTTCATGTCTCAAATCATGATCTATCAATATTATATTCGATGCAAAATCTTTTTATGATTTGAACATATGTAATATATGAACCAAATATAAGAAAAGAAAGCTATATGCTAGAAAGACATTTATATAATGTTGCTTTCTTAATTACATTAAATCAATTTTTTTTATTTTTGACACAGTAATTTTTCATCTCTTAATTTTTCATTCCCAGGTGATTAATTATTTAAAAATAATATGCAAACGCGCGTTCTATCTATAGATTTAAATGCTTTTTCAAATCAGATACGAGGTAAAATATAATATTGCGTGTATTGCTCAATAAAATATTTCTTGCAACTTTTACAATGTCTCATGCAGGTTTCTGTGCGAGCAAAAATATCCGTTGGCTTGTGCGAGAGTTAATAAATAAAAACAGAGCATGATAAGAGAGGCAACGAGACCAGGAGATTCAAGGGTCTGCAATGTCCTGCGCGCATCTGTTTGCCAGACCGTTTTTGCATATTTCAAACTGCCAACAGCACCATTTTTTCGGCTACACCGGCTGCTAGTGATTCGTCACGCAAGCATTGTCATCATTCTTTCAAAACGAAGAAAAAATGTTGGTCACGTTCGCAAATATTGGAAACCTAAGACCTTTTCTCGCTATGTATTCAATGAGAACAAACAATTGATCAGTGATAAAGTGGGTTTTTTTTTTATAAAGAATATTTGCGGACGTCATACGACATTTAGTTTACCAATTTTATTTTATTATGTAAAATCGCTGCATAAGAAAATCTTCAACTTATGCAAAAACGAAATTTATCGGTGTCGTTCATTAGTACATATATTTTATTTAATGTCTAAATTGTTCAAGATATACTTTTAATAATTCAATAGATTTATCTTTAAGAGTGTAATTTTTAAATATTGCTACTCTTTTCATAGAAATGACAACAATAAAATATAGTGTGAATAGACAATAAAAATAAAAAGTATGAATGATTTACAAAGCAGTAGAATATATTGTTAATATTTTATCGATATATGAAAATCCATTAAAATGACCCTATAATCTTTAACTTTAATATATTTTATTTTTATCTGATCCATAGACATTTGATATATATTGCTTTACGATATTTATTCACTCATGCGCAAGATATAAAAATCAAACTGTTTTTGGGATTTTTTTACATATACTATACATCGAAATTGTTTACGAAAAAATATATGAGTTTTTGAATACTTAAACAAAAAATTCTAATTGCACTTACAAATTGCAAAAGCACAAAGGAGAAAGCGTGTATAACGCACAAAAAATAACGCAAATATTATTTATAAATATTTAGAGTGCAACGGCAAAAATATTGAAACTGATAAATAGAGTTGAGTTTTTTTTTTGCTATTTTGCTTGCTCATCTTCACATCAAAGTATCCAACAGCGTGCATTTCAAAGTGTAGATTTTTCAATTCTTTTTTTAGATTTAGTTCATTCAGGTATGTAAAAACATATTGTTTTAATAAGGAATTATTTGCAAAAATATATATGATATTCCGGGTGTCCAGCGAGATTCTAGCAATAATTCACAGGAAGGTAGATGGAATTAAACTGAAAAGTCCTATACCATTTTGCAATTAACTATTACGAAAATTGCAAAATGGTAGAGAATTTTTTGACTCAGTTTAATCTCATCTACCTTTCTGTGAATTACTGCTAGATTCTCGGCAGACACACGGTATACATATGTTATCATTGTTACAAAATATATTCTTGAATAAAAGCAATAACTTCAAATATTTAATTGTAAATGTTGTAATTACTATATTTATAAACATAGATATTTTATTTAAGGTTTTTATTAAATATTAAAATTTATTATCTATTTATATACATCAAAATTATGAATTAATATTACGTCTTTTTTATTGTGATAATACTTAAAACATTTTTATACATTCAGAAAAACAAAAACATTTCAAATTGAGACAATTAACGAATAAATTTAAAGCGCAATTATTTTGTGTCAATAAAATTTATATAATTACTGATCATGAATCATTATTATTATTATTATTATCATTATTATTGTTATTGTTAATACATTAAGTTACGTAAAATAACAGAAATAATTAAAAAAATAAGTAAAAAAATTGACTTTACATGTTAGATATATTAAAGTAAAAAAAAAATAAGTTTTTGCTTCTATTTTAAATTTAAATCTTTAAAAATGATGCAAACTTTTAACTGTTGTGTGAGTTTAGAAGTTGTGTACGCTTTTTACATAAAATATTTATTATTTAATAAAAAATCATTTACCACCAGAAGTAGAGAAAGGCAATATCATTATAAGTCCTGTCGCCACATGACGCTTTTTAAATAAAAGCAGAATATCTTAAGTCTTTTAAAGAAACTTAAAATATAGAAAAAATTTTTTTAAAGAAATACATTTATATGAATTGTTCAATATTGATATACGCAGAACCCTTATGCATGAAAAAACTATTAATGTTTCTTGGAAAGAAAAATTAAAACTAAAGTTTCTATTGAAAGCACAAGAATAGAACTAATTTACACGTAGCTTTTTAATTAATAATTAATTACTTGATAATTAATAATTAATTAGCAAGTAATTTCTGAGAAATCAATTATTCAAGATACAAATGTATCTTTAATTATTTAATTACAAAAAAATGTAAAAAGTTTTTTAATGCAGAAAAAATTAGATTTATTAAAGTTCATGCTAAAAAAAAACTAAGATTGATAAAAATATTTAACAATATATAATTTTTCGGTATTTTTGTTATATTCCTCCAGATTATTTCCGGGCATTGTTATATTGTAATATATTATCAATTACAATATAATAAAATAATAAAACCATAATAAAACCATAACTCATATATAATTTGTAATATAAGAATCTTTTGTTACACCAATTTTTATTATAATTGTATGCAAGTATACTTTATTTACTTAATATAGTATAATTTTTATTATAATTATTGTAATTATTGTTTTAATATTAACTCATAATGAAAAGTATGCCGTTCTGTTGATATTTAATCAAATTCTCATTACAGCTCATCTTCATGAAAGCTTGTGGTATTCGAATCTCATAACTACGTACGGTACTACGCAAAGTCTTATAAAGAAATATTTCTTTTAAATATTAGAAATAACATTATGTGGAATAACATAAGATTATAATTAGATAAATACTATCATAAATTCGTGGTTATAGAAAATCAATAAAAAAATTTTGACATAATTTTATACGTTAAATATTAAATAATACACTACAGAATAAAAATATGATAGTAATGTAATTAATTTATGATATCAACAATAGTACGATTTAAAAAAAATATATGTAATTTGAAAACAAAATTCGAATAATTATCAATTAATATATTTTAAAATATAAAACAAAACATGATATTTGGAGAGAAAGTATCGAACTGATACAATTTATCGCAATTCAATGATATTTCTCGTTCTTAGTTCTAGCAGAGATCTATACTTTACAATTATTTTTAAACAGAGTTTCGGCTGCAATTTTTTCAATTTTGATTTTTTAATATGAAACATGCGAACTCTTCCAACATGATACTTCCACTCTAAAGTATAAGAAAAGATAAATATGTTCAAAAACAACGAATTTCTCAACGGCATACACCACAACACAAGATGTTGGAAGCTAATATTTTATATTTCAATCGAATAACAATTAAATAAATAAATGTTTATAAAACTCATTGTTGCGTTGTTATGCGAATATATTTGTATGCGTAAGTTGGATGAAGAAATGATGTAATACTGAAGATGACCTAATTTAAGGTCGAAACGTTTATTTATTTAATTGTTATTTGATTGAAATATAAAATATTAGCTTCTAACATCTTGCATTATGGTGTATGCCGTTAAGAAATTCGTTGTGTTTAAAAATTATCACGTATTGACTTTGATTGTTTATAAATATTTTCACTCTTGATTACAGATCTCATTACTACCACTCTTATTCTACTGAGATAAAATGTATTAATCTTTCATACTGATTGTCAACTCTCGATCGTCTTAATATAATATTTTCTAATAAATATTTCCTTTTGTAAATCCGCTTATCTAAGGCATATATTTTTCAAATATTTTATTTTGCGTTTTGTATTTTT